GTTTGTGGGTAGACTGGCATGGACTGGTGTGGGGGCTAGGAGGGAGATGGAGTGAGGCATGGATCTGAAATATACACAAGAACTTTCTCACATTTAATTTTTGCGGGGGTCTGGATTTTTTTTTCCTGAATCTTCTTTGGCCCATCAGGGTTTTGTGGGTTACTCAGTGGTTGGGGAGTCTAAAACAGCTCTTTCAACAATGTTAGAGTAACAATGATTTAGCAAAAGAAAACTTTCGGAACACTGCCTAAGCCTTTTCAGAGTAGCTGTTGCTTTAGCTGCTTTACATGTTGAGTGCTTGAGCTGTTTAACAACGGGGGGCTGATTGGCAAGAAGCACTGAATACTTGGCCCTCTGATGGACTTGTTTAAAGCATCTCCTCATGCATTCCCCAAATCCTTGCTTCTGAAAATCTTTTTTTCCATGTTCTAGCGCCACACTTTTCTTTGCATTTTAATCCCTCTCCTACACACTCAGTTTCTCCATTCAATCACATAGAGAAGGAAAGCCTTCCACATCAGTGCTAACATGCTCCTGCTCTTACCTGCTTCAGGGATACGAAGTTCCTGCTTGACTCGATCTGTTTTTATCCACCTTGAAGCTAGGCAACTCATACAGTATGTTGCCATCAGAGCACCTTCTAGGGCCAGGTGCCAAGGCAGAGTACTCAAGAGAGCAACCTACTTTAATTCTTTGGACAAGGAAAGCCATGCTGGCTGTGTAAGCATTGGCTGCCCTTAGGGTATTTAGGGGAAGCTGCACTAACCAGCTCCTATGTAGGGGAAGGCTTATTAAAAGTAATCAATGCCCTGAAGTCCAACGTACTACTTTGCCGGAGTGCTGAGTACTTGGTACTCCATGTAGAGTCAGCAAGAACAGCACCTTCGAAAATCAAGTTCCAGGTATCAGTCAGGAGAGACTCAGTGCTGAGGGCAACAGTATACAAAACCACCACAAATGATTTATGTTTCCACTGATACTATCCAAGTGCTTACAAACTTATTTTAGTGACAGTGAGTAGAAAGCTTGTGAGCTTTTGGATTTTCCACAAGCTCCTTCTCCCTTTATTGTGTATATAAATATAAATAAGTTAGTGTTATTTACACCTGTGTACAGAATACATCTATTTATCAATATACAGAGATCTGCCAGTGGGTGTGGGGTTGATAACACTTAGCATTTTCTCTTCAAACACCATGCATTCATTAGTAATTAAGGCAACTTTGCACTCAGCAGAAGTATAGAGTAATAGGCAGGCACTTCAGTCGGGGCTCGTGGGGGGAAGCACAGTGCGTTCACAGGAAGCCAGTGAATCGCACCTCTCTCTCTCCTAGGTTGCAGCTCAACACTTGCCCCAGTACAGATAGAGGCCATATGAGCTCTACTGTCCAAGGGCTGAAGCAGCATTTGTGACACTGAGCTTGTCCAAACTGGAAGGTGGTCAGTCAAAAGCAAACAATCCGCTCTTCATTTTCAAAGGCTTTGGCCTCTTCCGGGTTTATCATGTTCCCATTTAAACTGTCAGAGAGAGTGAAAGGAAAGGAGAGTAAATCAGGGACCATGTTGTGGCTTTTGGTAATTCCAGGTCTCTCTCTTTTTTCAAAGTTTTGAAGCAGAGATGGGTTTCCTCAGGCTGTGCGCCCTGGATGCTTACCTCAGAGCACAGCCCAGCAGGTTGTGCCTCACACCCAGTTCACACTGGTGTCCTTGTTACAGATACTGAGGGCAACACTGTTCAAAAGCAATGGCTTAAATTACTTAAATAAATAGGTCCTGTGCAAGCACAAGAGCTTACTAGGGGCTTGACACTTTAGAAAACTGAATCAGGGGATTGGATCATCTTGTGATGGAGTTAGAAGCACCATCCTTAGACAGCCAGACAGCCTTAACTGGAAGAAGGCCAAGACATGGCCTTTAAGTTGGCTATGCTGCTTTGAAAGGCCTGTGGGGTGAATGGCTGACAATGGCATGGCTATTGTGAATGGTATCATCCAGCTACTGAAGGTTCCCAGCATTGGGCATCTAGTGTCAGCAAATAGACAAAGCCCTGGTCCCCATTTCACTCTCATTCATCCCTGTCACTATAAAAGGGACAAAACCTAATTTACTGGGCTATTTCATGGACTAGTTAAATATTCTAGAACAAAATTTTGTGTGTTGTCCTTAAAGGTAGACTCCTAGATTCATATTTAAGTCCCTGATTTAAAATGGCCTAGTTTTCAAAAGTACCAAGCACTCAAAAGGCTGTAGCCCCTCAGAAAATACTCTCACTGGGAAATCTAAAGACAGGCTCCCTTGTTGGCAGCTCTTTCAAAACAGGAACTTAAGATCCTTGCATTTTTTTAAACTGTGTGGGTATAAGGGGGGGGGGGTGTTGTATTATTTATGTATATCTCTCTATATAGCCATGTGTGCGTGTGTGGTGGAGCAAATATTTAGCCTAAAAGCAGCAGCACTAAAAGTAGTCTGATTCTGTTAGGTCTAACACTCCACAGAGAAGGTGGAGGGAGTTTGGCTTTGTGCCTCAAAGTGTGCACACGGGGGTTGATGCCTCCCTAATCTAAAGCAAGCAAATTTTGCAAGAAATTAATCTTGCATCTTAGCACTTTGTGCCTGGAGCTCTGCCTGAAAAAAAAATCAAAGCACAAACTTGATTAGCTGAATTGTGAATGCTAATTAAATGCAGCTCTCACCTGCATCTTGGGTTAGCTCCTTAGGAGCATAAACACATTAAGAAAGAAAGCTGGAAAACATTAATTCAAGTTAAACAAAACTCAAGACTGTAAAATAGACCCTGACTCTTAAGTGGCCAGGTATGCAGTCAGAGAGAAGCCTATGGGACTGACTGCAGGTACAAGCGTTTGCACTTGGTCAATAATAGAATGGTGAGTTCTTGCAGCTACTGGGAGATTGGTTCCATCTCAAGTGCAAGTATCTGTCTTGGTCTATTTACTATTTGGAGGCATGAATTAGCTTAGCCAAGATAGCTGGAGTAGAAAGTCACATACCTCACAGGCTGAAAATACACTAACTTTCTAGGAATTTGCTATAAAAACTTTTTCTCCTGGAAAATTTCCCCAAAACGAAATGAAACAAAACAGAAAACCCTTCCTGCGAGCAGTCTGTAGTCTAAGTGGTTTGGAAAGCAGCTTACTGAAACTCAGGGCCTTACCAGATCTCTTTAATGGCAGTGTTCTCCTGGAGAGCTTCACAGAGATACTGGGCCCCTTTGACTGTAATTCGATTCTGGATAAGCCTGAAAACAAAGCACTTTGTCAGAGTGCTCAGAGCTGTTCAGGTACAATTTGCAGCATCTCCTTCCTTGCACAAGTGGCTAACGTCTGGGGTGTTTGACTGAGAAAACAACACTTGGTTCCTAGCTAAGCTTGACATCGAAGAGCATGGCTGGATGGCTGCCAGGAGAGGTGGTTCTGATTGCTGTCTGCAGGGACAGCATGTTGGTGGCAGACAGTCTCCCCATAGATGTACTCCTAGAAGTAGGGCTGGGCTCTTAGAGCTTCTTGATTAAAAGTATGTGCGTGTGTTTTAGGGTTATTGAGCTTAATTATACAATTGATGGAACATCTGCTTTTTGGATTGAAGAGCAGGAGCTGATTGCACTCAGTGCAGGGTTAGGAAAGCTGAATCCATTGACATAAAAATGCTTTACTCTGATTTAATCTGTCAGAGTTATATTTTCTATTTAGCTAAAACTCTTCAAAGGAGCACCATTTAAGTGACGCAGACAGAATTTTGTGTGTCTATTCTGCGGCAGGCTGGGATTTTTTTTTTTTTTTTTTTTTTTAAGAAGTTACAGTTTATCATGTGAGACACCCAAATGCTATTCTAATCCTGGTCCCATTTAATCAAGCCAGTGAGGAACTGGGAGCATTTTGGAAACAGGCTAGGTGTAAGTGGGTACAAACCCTCCCGGTGAAGTTGGTTTCCATCAGGGTTGAAGTACTCCTGACACATTCCACTTCTGGGCAGAAGTACATGAACCACAGATCCAGGCAACTTCTCCAGCCAGTTAACTGAGCCATGGTTAGTACATGGAGAGTTCCATCTAGTCTTTGATTATGGAGAAATGCATCTGAAATGCTCCTTTATCAAACAAACTACCACCTAGCATGAGTGTTAAAGAGAAAAATACATAAAATGTACAAATACAGAAACTGAGGGAGCAGGCGATCTTTACTAAGGGCTAGGGGGAGGGGTTCACAAATCTGAGAACACCACTGATCTATAGTAGTCTGGCCTCACTCAACATGTGCCTCATGGTTTTTGGTGATGTCCCCCATAACTAGCAGAGGTTTGTAACTCAGCTGGCAAAGAGAATTTGTTTTCAAGAACCTCTGAAGTAAGGCAAGGAGGAGTTTACTTTAAAGGACTTTCTACACTTGGTCAATGGATGGAAATACAGCAAAACGCTGTGAATCCTTCTAGATACTGGGAGAATGCTTGGCTCTGTCTCAAGTGTAAATATCTGCCTGGGTCCATTTGCCATTTGGAGACATGAGTTGGCTTAACCAAGAAAGCCAGGATAGAAATTTATCTACTGGCAGCAGTGACAGTTGTGCTGAGCCCTTATGCAGGCACTGGTCCAAAGATATTATGCTCATGCTATTTTAAGAGAGATTTAGAATAAACTGTGCACAAAAGGTTCAGTTGTAAATGCCAAAAGCTAAGCACCTCCAGTCAAAGTTCTAAAAGTGCTGACAACTCAAGAGCTTCCACTGTTTTCGTTATGAACTGTGGGTGTTCAGCACCTCTAAAACTCAGGACCCTTGCTGTGGTGCCTGAAGGTGTCCAACTTCATGCACATTTTCCAAAAGCCTGAAAAATGTTAGAGGCAGCAGGTCTTATTTAACTTGTCACCCAAACACCCAGTGTATCCAGGCCCTGCCCATAAAGTTTATGGTGACCTAAGCAGGCCTCAAGCTGAAGCCACAATGCAATGGTTGTCAAAGAGACCAGACCTGCGTGTAAGTGGAACTCACCATAAATGCACTAGCTTCTTGTTCACTTTCAGCATCTCTGCAAAGCTCTCTGCAGCCTCGTCATCCAACTCATTTTTAGTCAACCTAATGGAGGAAGACAGTTCAATCAGGAGATATTTATATAGCTCCCCATTTCACATTTTCATCTTTTGCTTCACAGTTATTTAACTTACTGACAATGCACTAAATTTTAGATAAGCCACAAATAGTGAGACAGTTCCTGCCCTTACTGACTTCAAAGATCAGATACGAAATACCCTGGGGAGAAGCCAAAAGGTAGGAGAGGGAAGGGTACCGGCTCTTTTGGTAAAAATGTGGGTGGGGGTGGGACTTCTGACGTGAGTTAGGAGAACCGGGCCTTGGAGAACATACTGGGGGAGAGGGGAGGTTGTGCATTAGAAGAGGTGGGCAGTTCAACATAGCTGTAAGCACCAAAGAAAGCATGAAAGCATGTAAGAACAAAGAAACTGCTCTCAAAACAAAAGTGAGATGAGAATAAGGGGAAAGTGAAGGGAAGAGTGGAAAGAAATGAGAGTAGAGCTGCAGAGGTTGGCAGGGGGCAGTGCAGAGGCTGGCAGGGATATGAGGGAGGAAGAAGCCTGAATTTAATAGAGGCCATTAATCCTTGTGGTCCACAGGTTTGGGAGAATCTTTTTTGTACTCTAGATGGGATTGATGTGGAGAATGGAAGGCCAAAGAGGAAGGGAGCTGCCTTGCTCTGTAACTGTAGCTTTTGTAGAGCTCCCAGTGCTAGGATTTACAGGTGCATTTGCAGCGAACAATGTTACTATTAGAAAAGTGTATGCCAGTACAAAGAACTATGTAAATGGGAGGAAGGCATAGCTGGGGATAGTGTCTCCATCTGATTCAAGAAAATGATCCTAAGATGGAGGAACTCTGCTTGATCAGAGCAGTAAACCAGTCTTGTGCACATTACCAGTTGATAGCAGGAGCCTGGTGGTCCTTACTTTCTCAATATGCCACTGATGCTCAGCTGTCTTCTCACTGAATCTAGCTAGACATGGAGCTTTTCTCCCCATGGCCTGGCACCTACTTTAGCCATCTACACCTGTGCAAAGTGGATCTGAGATGCTGCCCCCACAGCAGAATGGTCCTGTCCCACTTGCCTTGCACAGACTGCATTGCAGTTTAGTCTCTGTAAATGGTTCCTCTCATTGAGGCTTTGTTCTCTGTATTGCTGAATGGCCAAAGTGCAGTAGCAAAAGAAATGAGAGAAACAAATAGCCAACCCCAGGCACCTGGTGCAGATGGTGGGAGCTCCACCAGCAACAAAGCCAGGGCCATGGGAATGCAGGTAGTCCATGTTACAGACACACCCAGCCCAGCCCCACAGCAAAATTGGCAACTGCGTCAATGCACTTGTGAGGGAGGTACTTCAGGCTTTTCAGTCTGGGAGTTTCTTCCCCACCAAGAAGGAGAAGCACTCTTAATACCCTGAAGTGCCAAACCCACCTCTGTTTCTCCTGTGTGGGAGTGCTTCTGTTCTGTTCCCCCCCAGGCTGTGAGCTAGAGGGGGGAAGCATCAACATTTGATCTTCCCCTTGGGGAATCCTACCAAGCTACCTCCCATTCTGGTTTCTCTCTGCACTGATGAGCCCAGGTGAAAATCTTATCTTAGCAATTGGCAACAGGCAGCCTCTGTGGCAGCTTCTATATGTTTCCCTATGAAAGGAGTTAATCCTTCCCTGCTTGGCTCAAAATCCTGGTAAGTCTGTACCAGTGGTGGCCAACCTTTTTGGCAGGGATGCCACAAAATAGCCCTGCACCTTACCTGAGTTCCACTCCGATTCCTTTCCTCTGCCCAATCTGCTGCCCTGCCTTCTGCTTCCTGCCCAGTCTGCTGCCCTGCCTTCTGCTTCCTGCCCTATCTACTGCCTGATCCCTTCCTGATCCGCTGTGCACCACACAGAGGTTGCAGGTTGGCCACCCCTGTTCCACACAATCAAATGAATGTGTGACTGAAACAGGGGTAGGCATAGTTACCTATACTAGCTTTGTTTTAGCTAGCACAGGTAACAACAACAGTGAAAATGTGGTACCCTGACCTGCATCATGGGGTGTAAAAGATGACTTGGAGATACTCTGGTTGCTAGTCTGTGCCAAAGCCCTGTGTCTATATCTTCACTGCTATTGCTACCAGTGCTTGCAAGGGGAGAGAGAGCATAGGTATGCCTACCTGTGCTGTAGTTACATCTGCACCCCCCAGTGCAGACATATCCTCAGTGTGAAATATGCTGGGCTCCAGCACTTCAGGAGAGACAAGCAACAACAAGTGTTGCTGGCTGTTCGTGTTCATGCCCATTCCAAAGGGAAATGAGATTTACTTTCCCATGTGAAAAAAAATAGCTGCAGTTCCCATTTGCAGCCCATTAAATTTCATTAATACAGGCTGAATATATAAGCTGAAGTAGAATACAACAACATGGCTTACCAAAATATCCTCACAGTGTTGTTGTGCTGCATAGCTTCAGCAATGCTTTTGCCTCCCTTGGTTGTAATGCCATTGAATGCAAGACTGTGAAGAAAGAGATATAAAAAAAAAAAAAAGTCAAAATTCTCATTTCAAACAAAAATAAGTAACCTTAGTGATGTTAAAACCAATTCTAATACTCAGCATTTAGATGTGGGTTTGCTTGCTCAAAGGCTTTGCAAACAGTAACTAATTAACACTTTACAAGTGGAAACAACTCACTGGCTGTTGTAGAAGCCTGGACCCAACTCTGTTCTCAGTTACATAGGGTTCAGGGTTTAGCATCAGGCAGTTGTATGCAAGGCAGCACTCCTCAACCCTGGAGCACCTTGAGATCCTTTGCACTGTTAGGTGTGCAAGTATGATTCACAAGATAAACCCGGAGATTTCAAATAAGAACCAATAGTGCTAAAAACGTGCTGACCTGTTGCAGTCTCTCAGTTCTTTGCAACAGAACTGCTCTATTATTTTTCTATACTTAAAAATAGAGTGAATATTAAGAGCCGACATTTTCCAAGTGGTGCCTTGAATCTAAAAAGGTTAAGAATCACTAAGTTAAAGGACTGAAAGAAGAATTGTGGTCAGTGTCTGTGGGAGCCAAATGTTTTCAAAAAGAAAGGAGATGAGCATGTAATCAACAATACATGCATACTTGCAGATGCATTTGCCACAACTCTATCAAGTTATATACATCATCACAATAGCTGTAATTGTGAAAATGTTATTCTAGAACACAGTGCTGCTATTGCATACACCTTTAAACTTATAAATATATGTACTGTTTTCAGTGTTGAAGACCACAGGTATTTTTTTTAATTTGCTTCTCTTTCTTTAAGTGGATTTTGGCAAATGTGTCTGTCTAATGTTACATTCTAAGTTGTAGGTGTTCAAAATTATGTTTAATATCCAAACATGGTTTGAGCAAATCTTTCCTCTATACATGGAAGATTTGCTCCTGTGTTTTCAAATTTCATTTATGTTCTCCAAAACATCTTGGAGAAGTAGGTAGCATTTGATTTTGGGGTTCTTTGGCACAAACATGTTCTCCAAAATCAGAACATAATGTTCTCCAAAATCCAGTTGTGGTAGTACCCAATTGTATCAGACCTAGTAAATGACTACTAACAGAAGCTTTCTTGGAGCAGAGATCCAGGAACTGTACCAAACTGTTCACACCTCCAAACTGCCCTCCACAGTGTAATCCTTGGATTCAAACCCAGCACCTGCAAGGAGGCAACAGTGAGAGGAAATGTGTGTAGTAGGGAAGAGAACCACTGCACTGCCGGGACTTCCTCCTTATGCCCAGAGCCAAGAGCCCAAGCTCTAAACCAGCCATGAGCATGCTAAATGCGGACACTCAGTGAAATGAAAGGGCAAGACCCTTCATACTAATACAGGTCCGTATTATTTCACATAGCATCTCGGGTCTGCTTCAAGACCCTCTGAAATCAACAGGAGTCTCTCCAGCGATTTCACTGGATAAGGCCCACAAGCAACAGGTGAAGTTAGCTTCCTATTCAGGCATACGCTGATGCAAAAAAGTCAGCCCACAACTACTGACCTGGCTGAGCTAACCTGTTTTAATAAGATAAGCCACTGCTGGAATAGCTGTGTGTTAGGCAAGACCTGAAGCATCAGTGTTTGCAAATGCCACGGGCAGGATTCCAAATTAAGTCTGATCTGTTTAACAGTGATTCTCATGTTCCAGTGATCCTAAACATGCTGACCAGAATCACCGTGTTTGCACAGAAGAAACTGAAGTGTGCCATCTTGTGGGGGAAATGAAAAGACTGGCTCCATCTTTCAAAAGAACGTTAATAATGGAGTTCAGTATCACTAGGAAACAAAATGAAGGTACTGGACAACAGAGGGTCAAAATAAAGAAACAGGCACTAGACATGGAACGTAACTCTGAAAAATCACCCTCAAGTTCCCAATAAGCATTTGAAAAACTGGCAGGAGATGAAACTTCCAGGTTCAGATTTATATTGCTGGTTTCCCCAACTGCCAACTTCAACCATTTCAGTGCTAGCTCAGTACTATGTACTGAATTTCATTCTTAACAGAGGTCTCACTGATTATGAGGACTACTCTCTTATAGTCCCATACAGCTTGAATGTTGTGCAGACACTCTGCCCCCAAAGAGTTTGCAATAGTGAGCAATACTAAATAAATGGATCTATTTCTCCCTCAGAGGGTGAACCATAATACTCACAACAGCAGGGGTTTGACTCTCCATCTCCCTGCAACTTGTGCAATTATAGAGCAGGGCAACTGAATCAGAACAGCAGTGCTAGGCACACTCTTTATGCTGGTGTCTGCCTCCATGCATTGCAAGGTTACAGGGAACTAGGTCTCAGACTGCTATTTCAAGCACTGGAAGAGGAAGGATGCCAGATGTACAGTTCTTCTTTCTAACAGGGAATCTCACATAATCTAAAGAGATTTTTGTTTGACTTGGTGGCCTACTGGCCACAGAGAAAAGACTGCATTTCTAACTGGCATTCTAAGGTAAAGATGGTCAGAGGCAGGTGAGTTTTCAAAGCATGTTAGAAAAGCCAGCATTTCCAAAGCATTTTTGTTTTTCTATTGTTTACCTCACGTTTGTTAAGGTAGGATGATTCCTCAGCGCATCAGCAAAAGCTTTAGCTCCTTCATCTCCAATTTGATTGCCCCACATTCTGGCAAGGAAAGGAAATCAGGAAAATCAGACACATGGATTTAATGCCATCCTTGTCATTGCACATTCCACTCTCCCCATGACCTTGTGTCACTAACTAGTGCTTCAGTCTTGTCAGGAATTTGTCACTCTTCACTTTCACTGAACCTTGCCAGTTCCACTCCCAGCACTTTTCTGGATTTAAAGCCAGAGTCCAGAGACTAACTCGGGGAGAGAACTCTAGGGAGGCCCTTCAGTTCTCTCTCTTTATAGTGTACATGCAACATTACTCCCTGGTTCTTGTTCTACGAGAGATAGGGACCAAGATCCTGTCATTTCCCTGATTCAAGCCCAAATATGATGGGAGCAGTTTCCTTACTTTCCTGCATGCAGAGGCTGAGGATATGCCCTGCAAGAAGTGTGTAGGTGGGAAAGGCTCATCCTCTCCCCAGATGCACACTAGGACATGTGCTCCAGGATGACCACTGCACATGGACACACATACCCTGATTGCAGGTCCCCCTTCTTCAGTATCACACTGAGATAAAATAGTCATAAGCCTATTATTGTTGCAAGGGGCCTGAGGGACCATTACTACCTCAATGACAGATAGCCAAAAGTAGGAATAAAAATCCATGGAGCCTGCACAACCTTTTGTATTTTTCTGACTGCTTTCAAGGAATAATATTTCTAATTAAATAAAACACAGGTAAAACACAGTGCCAGAAGAAAGCTACAGTGTCAAAGCTATGCACAGTAATTCCACCACCTCCTGCTGGGAAGCCTGATAAAATCCTTCTCTCCAGACCCCCGGCTTTGAAAATTCACTCTGTCAGAGGAGGTCTAAAAGGCTGTTTTTGAGGTACAACATTCTTAATTAGGGAAAGCCTGATGACTCAACTCAGAGCAATGTTCAGCTTGGCAGGTAATTGGCTGGTACTCTTTTGAAATCGGTTGAGCTCTGTCATCTAAGCACTACCATTTCAAACAATTTCCCACAGTCCTTAGGCACATTTCAGGTTGATTAGAAAAGCCTCAAAATGTGGAAACTCAATATATTCTGTTTAAATGAACACTTCTTCTCAAGCTAGGCAAAATTCATTTGGAGAGATTCTTGCCTCCAGCAGAGAACACCTAAGTGCTTTGCTGAAATTATATTAGGTAGAAAGGGATCTGCAAACCCATTTCTATTATAATTGAGGGCTGGGTGAGTTTTGGTTATACTTTTCAAACGTTGCTAGCGGAAAAGGGAAAACAAAAGAAATGAAGAGCAAAAATGCTAACTTTCAACACTGAAAGCTGAAAACCGGAATTAATCTAACAGTCTGCAATTCTGCTTGTTGTATTTGAGCTTTGCAAAGGGGTGAAAAGAGATGGTGCATGGCTGCCATTCCTACACGTAGAAGGCCAAATACTCTTGTGCTACTAAGTGTCAGAGCTCCATGGCTGTCCCGGCATATGTAAAACAGGCAGTACTGGCATTAACAAATTGTACTTACCCGATTTCAAACATCGTTTTGCTCTTCTGGATAGCAAGGGCAAGACTTTTCCCTCCTTCGGTGGTTATTTTGTTTGCTCCTATTCTGCACATAATATATTAATTGTTAAGATTGTTTACATAGAAATAGTTCTTTAAAAACTATCTGTTTGCTATATGAGCTCCAGTTCAGAAACTGACCTTAATAGCCAAGTTCATTAATGTCAGAGGTCAGTTACAGATGTCCATTGAGTAACACTGCTGCCCATATTCTAACTTTTCATTATAAAGAAATAGCCACTATCACTTCCAGCTGCAAAATATAATGAGGAGGACCACACTTCAGCCCTCAAAGGAAAATATAGTGAAGTGTACTGAGGTGAACTTCAGAAACAAGCCAACTGCACAGTTTTGGTTGTGCAGTTATAATGCCCTGCACAATTTAACACTGCCCTACTCTCAGCTGGGATTCTTGCCAATCATCACATGAAACATGAGTTACACGAGTTGCCACTGTATGGCGTTCCATGATGCCCCCAAAGCAGAACACAATTTTTACCAGTGTGGAGCTTAGGAGGGTTACAATTAATAAACCCAAGTTGCAACTACCTCCAGGCTTAATTTATTCAAATCATAGGGAAGATGGAGTACAGGTGATAGGTGTTGTCTCCATCTGCCAGGTGTTGCTGAAGAGGGCAAACAACACTTGAACAGTGTAAGACAGTGAAGTCTTTGGCCCGTGGCAGATAGGGAGAATGCTTTGGTTTTGGCCTGAAAGTGGATACTTAAGTGATACAAATTAGTGTGATCTGAGAAAGGTTGGAGTCTTGATTGCATGTGCATTTGTTTAAAAAAAATTCAGACTGGTGACTCTAAATTGTCCTATTTTTCTGTGTACATGCGATTCATTCCCTCCTCCCCATTCTCATCTAACTCAGATGTCATCCAGAAATTAATGGCACTCAATGGGTTTTTCAAAAAAGTCAGAATACCCTACGAGATGTGTCCAATGGAAATCCCCTGGAACTAACGGGAACAAGTCATCAGCTAATTTTTGGTAATTCTTACACTGAAATGCGATACCAAGATAAAATTCTTCTTTTTACATCTAGAAAGGTCAGGTCTAAACAAATGCAAAATTAGGTACAGCGATTGAAATTCACTCCCATGCAGAAGCTCGCAGAAAGTTTATTGATCATTTAAATCTCACTCAAGCACCCAAGACTGGGTTTGAGAAGCATAAGTCTTATGCTGTCCTTTAACACAGGACTTAATTCTATCTACAGAATGACATTGTCTTCAGTAAAGATTATAGAGTAAAGAATTACAGGTAGTTATCCCAGTCAGAGTATTATAAGGAAATAGGTAACACTACACACTTATTTTTCTCTATGTATAAATGTCTTAAACTTTTTGTTACTCAAGAAAATTCTCTCTCCCCACTTTAAATTTGCTTTCTCTGAATTATAATATTGCACAGCATAAAGGAAAAAAAATCTGACATACTTAACATATGTGAGGCTTGGGCATTCTTCAATGAGTTTTGCAACATATTTGGCTCCAACATCTGTAATTTGGTTGTTGTACAGGCTTAAAAAATAGTAAAAATACATTATTTCATCTGTAACTTAAATATATGCAAACTGAATGATTTACAGTACCCATATAGTACTTACCTTGTTTGTAAGAGGCCTGTACAATAATTTGAATACGTCTTGTTTGATGTGTAGGTAATATGATACATTATATTAAAATATAATAATAAAGGGATAGCTATAAATTCAGAGATCAGCCTGGGATTTATTTGTGGGAAGGTGCAGTATGTGGGGGAAAAGAAACAGTAAACATTCTCTTCTAGCAAATGCAACTTCTGTTCATTTCTGTACCAGAGCAAAAATACTGTTGCATAGTCACCAAGAAAATGTGTGCCCAGTCTTTTAAAGGTCTCAAAATTCCTTTGTAAATTGTCACGGCAGGGTCCTTTAGGAGGGCCGTGATCTCCTTAAGGCCCTCTCTCCGTGCCAATTCGGCCCAAGGGCACCCTCGATTCTCGCCCGCCATGTCTTTGCTGTTGAATAAGGTTGGGAGGCTGCCTTACGACTCCCTGGGCACGGAGAGCCGGGACCTCTGTCCCCGTATGTTCTTGGGCCCCCCGGGGGTCTCCCGGTATAATGGGTGCTCCTCAGGCACCCTAGCCTTACGGGCTACGCGTGGCTCCTACCACCCCTAATACCACGCCCCAAGCCTCACTGATGTACTAGACGTTGGACTGTCACCATAAACATATACCCACTCTCTCTCTCTCGGGCCTTCTCTAACGTGTCACCCCTCTCGGGCCTCACCGGTCCTTTGAGCCCACCGCACTACTGCCCTCTCTGGTACAGGCTCACCGCGCTGCTATCCCCTTTTCGGGGGACAACCGGAGCACCTTGCCCTTCTCCTGGGGCGCTGTGCCACTAACCCCTTCCGTCAGGGTCCACCGCGGCACCCTGCCCCCGTCCTGGGTTTCCCTATGGCGCAGGCCTATTACCGGGTCCACCACGCCCGTTCTGGGCTTCTTAAATATCGCCCTACTCGGGCTCCTCAATATCGCCCCGCCCTAGGGCTCAGTATGGCCCCTCTCGGGCTCCTCAGTAATCGCCCCTCCCTGGGGCTGGGGTCTATGCACCCCGTAAGTGATGCCCTTGCTGGCGTCTGCTGCGCCCGTCCTGGGCTTCCTACTATGGCGCTCCCCCTCTTGGGGGCTCGCCGCGCCCACCTCGGGCTTCTCAATGCTGCCCTGCTCTGGGGCTGGGGTCTACGTACCCCACACACAACCCGGGGTCTATATTCCCCGCCCGCAACCCACTGGTTGCGCTCCACGCTACAAGCTGCGCCTTCACTGGCGCTTCGCCTTCACCGGCACCGGGGCCCCCATACCACTGGGGTACCTATAAGAATAATGCGCCCTCTTGGCGCTAGGCTGCGCCCTCACTGGCGCTAGGGCACCCCACCTTCTCTGGGGTCCCTATGAGGACACTGCGACCTCTTGGCGCTAGGGCACCCCACCTCTCTGGGGTCCCTATGAGGCCTTCTACAGCTTCACCCAAACCTCCGGCGTAATAGCAACAACACAAACGCAAAACACAAGCCTCTAGGCTATAACATAACTATAAGCGGCCTGGCTATAACCCAATATCATCGCTCCAGCCTCTGGAGCTCTCGCGAGCTATACTTGCTGTTAGGCTTGTCCTCCCATCCTAACTGCAGGAGCTCCTGCTCCTGCTCCTGCTCCTGCTCCTGCTCCTGCTTCCTGCTCCTGCTCCTGCCCCTCTGGCTGCTGGCAGGGAACTGCCAGCCTGGCCTCAGCCCTGGGCTTTATGAGGGCCAGGCCCTGCCCCTTCTGGCCAGCTGATTCTTATTAGTTGCCCTGGCAACTCACAGCTGTGCTCACTATGTTCTGCCAGGGCTCTCTCCCTGGCAGTTTCTCCTCTGGCAGCTTTCCCCTCTCTAGGAGCAGGAGCACCGAGGTGCCCTGCGACATAAATGCATTGTGTTCTTTCCACACCACAGTCAGATATCTGAGTAAATATACCTGGAGTAGGGCACTGGTGGAGAAAGTAATTCTTGGTACTGACTTTCATTTTTTCACAATTTTTTCACAAAGATTAAAGTAATCTTTGTGCAGCCATTTAACCAAAAGTAGTGAGTGAAGGTAATCTTTCCCACTACCCCAAACTTGACTAAAATCTGATTTTACCTTTAAAGAAACTACTATGCCATAAATGGATAAGTGCAAGTATGGTTGTACAGGTGGAAGGCAAGGTAGAATTGCACTTTACAGACTAACCAAAGTAGATATATAGCACAAGCTCTTGTGAGTTGAAGATCACTTCATCAGATATGTAAGAAGAGAGAAATTTGAGTAAAAAGGCAAAGGTGGCAGGCTGGGGGAAGAGAGAGGGGAGGAGGGCCTAATTTCTCTCTCTATATACTCTGCTTTCTGCACATCCTTTCACAGCACCTGATGAAGTGAGCTCACAAAAGATTATGCTATATACATATACACCATATTTACTTGAATAGAAGACAAGGTTTTTTCCCCGTAATCATAACAGAGAAAAAAGCCCCTCACCTTACATTCACATACAAAGATACCACATTAAATGCACTGTCTATCTTTCAACTGCTGCTAAAAGCAGCATGTGCTCAGGAATGGAAACCGACTAGGAAGTTGATTAAATACAGCCAACACTGAGCATGATTATAAAGTACAGGGCTGATTTTTTTCTTTAATTTCATGTCTTGGTTAATATAGTTAACTGTGTTAGTCTGAAGTCAAGTAGAAGGCAAGGTAAATTTACATCTTATAGACTAATCAAAGTAGATATTTTGTGTGTGCACACACATGCGCACACACACACATATATATAAAATATCTACTTTGGTTGGTCTATAAGGTGTAAATCTACTCTGCCTTCTATTTGACTTTAGACTAACATGGTTTAACTATGTGTCTCTGAACAAAAGGAACCAGTAATATGGCAGTTTAAAATGTCACATGTCTGTTCCCCTTTTCCTTTCTAAGCCATCTGTTTTATATCACAGCAAGAAATGACTTCAGTAGAAGCAGATATAGCCCAAAGAGATCATGTACGAGCTGTGAAGGTGCCCATCCGCACAGCCTAATAACTAAACGATGGTCTGCACTGTATTTCAGGGATTGTTTTGGTGATAAGTGGGAGACCATCCTGCGATCAAGGGAGGCAGAAGAGGGTCTTCTATGTGAAGTAACAGCTCCCCTCCTGCGGTTATTTCATATTTATGATGACAGCTGCCTTTTGGCGCTCTCTGCTGTGACATAAAATACTGCCTGCAGTGCCTGACACACACAGGTTCAATAAACTAATGAGGTTGCTTGGGTTTCCTGCCTGTCTTTGCAGTCTCAAAGTGCTACTGTTGTAAGATCGTTGCTGTATAAATGTAACAATGATCCATTTCTTCAATTCCCAGTGGGTACATACCCCAAGAAAGACACAATTTTGTACTTGGAGAGTTCTTCATACAGCACTCTTACTCCACGATCTGTGATCTGATTAACACTCAGCCTAAAAAAAGGTAAAAGAAAACAGACGCTTGGTCAGTACAAATGACATGGTGTTCACCACCCACACATTTTATGCCCTGCTTTCTGTACATTAATCATTTAGAGAACGGACAGTTTACTCTGACATTTACCAGAGAGACTCATGCCATGCATTAAAGATATTGATAAGTATGTGACCTCAGATTTTTACCTTTCACCTAAAAACTCCCAATCTCTTATCCAATGCTCTGGACACTGTGCCCAGAAAAAAGTAATGCTATAGATTGACACATCCCATCCTCCCACTCGATTGTGATTAAAAAGGCAGGTATTCTATATGACGACTCAGCTGGTCCTTAATCTTTTCTCATTCCTTATCCCTGCCTGTACTCCAACGAAGGCCTGGAGAAAGAAGTGAACAGAGGGTGCGTCTACACATGCATTTAAGTGCAACTAAATTTAATGAGCATTAAGCAATTTTGGCAGGTGTCTACTCAAGCACACTAAAGTAGGTGCCAAGTCCCTACAGCCCTGACATGTGCCCCTAGTGGCTGGCACATCTGCACATGTGTTAACGTGCTTTAACTAATCATACCTAAATTTGATACCTGCATTTGCATGATCAAATTTAGGCATGATTAGCCTAATTTTGCCATTTTTAATGTACATTAAGGGTGTGTATGTGTAGACAAGCACCTGTGATGCATATTAAATTAGGCTAATATACATTAATGCATCTTGTGTAGACGTGCCCATAGTACTATATCCTTCAGACTGTGACATGCAGGCTCTAGGTTGACCAAGGCTGTAAAGAGACAAGATTGAATAATAGGACTGGAGTCACGCAGGAAAATTCAAACATTTCAAATTGTGTGTTTATCTTAAACTGGGACAAACAAATCAAAATTGATTAAGCAAAATATACAGTTCTATAAGGTCAAAATGTTTTGTTTTGTTTTTTATACTAGAAAATATTTTGATTCTGTTGAAATGGAAGATTTTGATCTTATATAAATTGATATGTTCCAGGGAAACTTTGAATGTTACCAATCTTTTTTTTTTTTTCTGACAGGAAAACTGTTCAGCTGAAAGATTTGCAAGCAGTCCTAATTGCAAACAAGCTCTATAGTCAAGGATCTGTTCATGGAGAAATACCTCTCACCTACCTGTTCATTCTGAGTTGGTGTCTTAACTGCTCTGAAATATGTTGGTAGGGGAAAAAAGAAATTTGGCTTCACTTTTATATATCAGAGCCTTCTGCTTTGGAAGTGACTGGTCAGGCAATTAACTTTTCTCATGACACAATACATTTTCTATCCCACAGGAGCTAGGCACTGGAAATGAAACACCTCAAGCCAAGATACACTATGCTAACAAAAGCACTATGACAGGGCAGTCTAATGCTGAGTGGGGTTGTTTCTATACTTTTCAACACCCGCATGTAGTAAGATTGGGTAAGCACATATGACTGATGGAGTCAGAAAGATTGTCCTGACCTATATGTTTCTCCCTTTTGTTTTATGCTATGGGAGTGATTTTCAACCTGTGGTCTATGGACCCCTGTGGTTCTGCAGACTATATCTAAGGGGTCTGCAAAAGATGACTATCAAAGTATGTGAATACCCATACTTACAATGATCAATCAAAAGTAAGGGAATACCCACACTTACAATTCAAAGGCGTCCACACCTCCATTCAAAATTTCCAAAGGGGTGCACACCTCCAATCAACATTTTTAGGGGTCCGCAAATGAAAAAAGATTGAAAATTACTGTGCTATGGCATTTTTCCTCAAATTCCTTCTTTTGGGAACTGAGCTACATTGTTTTACAAATTAATCAGAGGAGGCAGAGTCTAACATCCCTGGCTTATTCAGGGGCAGGTGAGGTTTACAGAGAAAAGCAGAGGCTATGGCCAATTAGGAGTAACAGATCCAGTGAAAAACCAATTCTCCTGAGTTTCAGGGAATTAAAAAAAAAATGCTAGAAGATACTGGCCTTCTGCCACAGACTATCAAGGCAGTCAAAAACTCTGAGGGGCTGGAATGCTACAGGACTACAGGCTGAGGAATCTGAATTGTGACCTTAGGACTTAATTTTGTTTGAAATGTTTAGGTGCCTCTGCTTTTCTCCTTCAGAGGAGTGCAAATAAAGTTTTTATTGGACCTTTGAGAGAGACTGAGCTGTGACTGATTTTTTGAAAGACAGACTTGAGAGGAACCCAACCAAAACCACTGGCCTAAGCACTTTAAGTTTTTCTGGTGGTTTTGATTTTTCGGGGGGTTTTTTTGCAATTTGGATTTTCAAATCAAACCTCCTCCCTATGGTTGACTATTCACTGTCTCAGCAAAGACCCCCACACATAGGAAATGGGCAAACTATGGGCTGATCAAAATTTGGCTTTATGGAGCCATCTCCAGTTAGGCTTCTGCTTTTGAAAGAGGCTTCTGAAACCAGATCTTAAAATCTGAAAGCATTTTATTTCTAGGAGCACTGACACTAGCACTATCACACTTCAAAGAATTTCTGTAAGGTTAATACTTGTGCTGTGTAACAGACCTCAGAGAAGCAGCTGCTTGGCACAGAATCCTACCTGATCACCCCAAGCTTGCTAAAGCAAGGGAGCAGTTGTCTAACTCCATAGTCATTGATGTTGTTGTTGTCTAGATCGAGAGCTAGATGCTTGTGGAAATGATGCACAATGAAGGAAATGGCACTGCAGTCAGCTGAATAGGCATTGCAGTAAGTGAGTTTGATGTAATTGGCCCGCATGTCTTTAGCAGCCAGCTTCCCCACTTTTTCACTTTGAGTCTCATAAATGCACCGCAGCATCCAAACAAAATTGGGTGTAACCTGAACTTGCTTATAGTTTGCAAGCCTTGATCGCGTCAGGCCCTTCATATGAGATTTCATGCTTCCTGAGAGATATGTTAAAAGAGCATTTCTTTTCCTCTTAATGGCCATAGGTGAGACTAAATGTCTCAAGAGCTTCTGTCTAGTTTTGGAAAGCAGACCACAGAGGAAAAGGTTGGTGAAGTGAAAGTGTTCATTGTTTCGGAAAGGATCTTCTCCTATTGGCTGATTATTGAACCATGGAATAGGGAGGCAGGTAAATTGGGTAGTCTCGAGGGTGGAGCACTCATTAAAAAACTTCAGTAACTCTTTTGTACCCACTTTCTCTTCAGTGATTAGGAAAAAAGCTGTGAAAAAAGACTGGAGGGTCAAGTGCAGGAACTCATAAGAGGACTGGTCTCCACAGCCTCCATAGTTGTGAACTGTCCTGAGGAATCCCAACTGCAAATCCTCTTCCAATACATTCACAGCCATGACCTCCTCATGCTCAAAAACAAAGAGAGATTTCTCCATTCCCCGATGGGCTATTCTACCCAAAGACAGCAGGGTTTCTTTTTTTGACTTGAATGTCTCCACTTGGCTCCTGGTGTTCTTCTTCAGCAAATCTGTTTTCAGAGTTCGGTTCAAGTGGACTTCAGTCATGAGCAAAAACACATCCGTCAATGTAACAGAGTAATCTGGAAGCTCATGGATGTCAAACATGGAATGCAAATGTTCATAGCATTTAAAGATAATCCAACAAAACAAAGGTACTGAACACAAACTACAGAGACTGGGGTTAGCTTCTAGATGATTCAGTACCAATGTTTGGCGCCCCTCATCTTTGAAAAACATCTTAGTGTATGCCTTCAGGTTGTTGCTGGAGAAGCCTCGGAGCAATACTTTCTTCCTAATAATGTTTTGATGGACCTCAGTCCCAGTCCTTGCTGTGAGAACTTTCCTTGATCCTTTCAAAAGCTTTCCTCTAAGAAGACTCACTAACAGGGCGAGTGGGTGGATAGGTTCGCTGGGTGAGCAGATCTCAGGAACACTGTTTACGTCAAAGTCAGAATAGATCTCATCAAACCCATCAAATGTGAAGAGGACTGTGTGAGGGAACTGAAGGATGTGGTTGAATACCTCCTCTTGGTCCTGGTCTGGGTAACAGTTGTATTTGAACAGAAGATCTTTCAGACTGATGGTTTCATTCTCCTTAAAGCAGCTAAACATCCTGCACCGGAACCGGAAAAAATATTTGGCACCTACGTCCAACTCTCCTCGGGCCCAAAGATTTTGCATTTTTTGCAGCAAAATGGATTTTCCGATTCCTGCATCACCAAAGACACAGATGGTCTCTCCATCTTCATTAATCAGCCCAGTTCTATCATCAAGCAGGGCTTCTAAGCAGTTCACATTGCCAAGACTCTCATTGGCATAACTGACCAGCTCCATGATATTATCAGAGTAGATTTCCTCAAGCAGCATCTCCTCCTTCTGAGCATATGACATGACAAACTTTGTGTCTCTTCCCAATTCATACTTGAGTTTCTGACGGTACCTGCTAACTAAAAAAAGGGAATGAACTATTATTAAAAGCAGTCAAGTCCAATACTTCATTAAATACAAAGCATCCTGCCATGCTTGAGAATTAAGACAGACTTACAGGCCACACAAGCTCAACTGCTTCTAGTTCACAGGTAAGTAGTTAGCACAATAAAAAACTGTTTTGCTGAAGGCTACAGCTAACTCCCTTCTACCTCTTATCAGATATATGCTTAGCATTCTTTTTGCTCAAGGTAGATGCAAAAAAAAAAAAAGAAGTAGTTAGCTGTGTTAGTCTGAAGTCAAGCAGAAGGCAGGGCAGAATTGCATCTTTTAGACTAATTCAGAGATGCACAAGCTTTTGTAAGGCACAGCTAATTTTGTCAGGTCTTCCAGATTCAGCCCAGGGTGAGTTTGACATGCCTGCAGTATTTGGGTAGCTGCAATTTACCTATCTAAATTCCTCTTGAAGTTTTATTGAACTAGTTAATATTCACTCCTTGCCTTGTTGTTATTATGATTTCTATGTGTAGAACACATAACTCAGGCTCTAGAAACTTCACACTATTGGGCAGCATGGCTGTTGGTAGTGTTGCAAAGGACTCTTCACTTCAGGTGGGTAGAGGGGTAGAGTGATTTCTGTATTTATGCCACCTGGGAAATGTTCCAGTTATCACATTTAAAAGAACATACATAAATGTTCTGCTTAATAAATCAGCAGTCTGTCACTCTGCCACAAACAGTCACCACAAAGATACTGCACTATGTAAAAAGCTAGTCAATATTAGACTTAAATGTGAGACTGATGCTCTAGTTTAAAAATGGCCTTGAGATTCTGGGGAGAAAGTGAAATGAGACAGACACCTCTTCAACTAAATCAATGGGACTGTAATTTAATACTGTAGACGATTTGCAGATGGAGCTTACAAAGATGTAACACTTTCATCTACGAGCTGAGTGTTTCTATATTTTTTTTTCTTTGGCTGTGGCTGCATGGACCCTACAGAAATACCTATGTTTCTTCCTATTCCATGTTAAAAATGGTGATCTTACATATAGGTTGCTCTGTGTCCTTATTGCACCATACCTGATTGGAACATCCAGCCTGTAAGGATAATTTAGATGCCATGCTGTTTTAAAAGTACAGGCTGACTGATTACTCAAGCCCCTCTTTACAACCCCAGAATGTTTCCCTTAAAAAGAACTGAGACAAAGTAGTTAAGGATACTCATGCTTAAAAAATTTCCGTTGTTACCACTGGATTAAAAGGAAAGCTTTAATTCACTTGAAAGTGCTGATACTACAGAGCACAGTGTAGCACTGTAGCTGCTCCATCTGGCCCCCAGTAGAACATTCGGACATTGTTTCTCTCTTCACCCTAACGTTAGTATTTTGTTTTAAATGTCTCTTTTAATTCACCTCAAACTGATCACTTCATCACAAACTGATCACCACTTTTGGGATGGTGTAACTGCACTATTGAAATCTCTGTCATATGGCTGACTAGTGCTAATCATCTTGGGGGAGGCTTGTAAACTTCTGAGAAAGGGGGCTATTGTGTCATTCATCCATCTTTGGACCCTCATGGTTCCACCATGTTTTGGGGTCTGGAACAGAGACTGCCTTGATTTAGGCAGTAGAGAGGACTGTCCAAGTCACAGCAACTGGTCTTAGCACTACTCAGGATCTCCCATAGTTCTAAGGACCTTCTTGCTTCATATTCCCTTCACTGAGGAATGATGAGACCTGTATCTGGAAGTATATAGTTATACTAAGTGCTGGCCTCACCAAGATAATTTCCAGCAACTGTGTATGGGTCTTTAGCCCACATTCAGCCACGCGCAGTAACAGGAGAGCTGAAAAAAATCTCACCACGTATTCCCTATACTGAAAACCAGAGGGTTATATCTCTGGTTATACATTTTTTTAAAGCTTGATTTTGACAGAGAAAATAATTGAAGTCAAAGAATGAAAATAATCAACACATAGGTTAATTAAGTTACTGTTCATGCATGAATTGAGTTTACTGGAGAAATGTTTTTTTTCCATAGAACTGACTTGCATGCAAAACCTTACATGACTACCTACCTGGATCTGTATTTACAACCAATTTACTCTGAATATGCTCAGAAGGCTGAAATCTTATTTCATCCAACCAGGGCTGAAGCTCATGATAAGCATCAGTGACTTTCTGCAGGGTATAGACAAAGTATTCTGAAACTTCTTCTCCCTTGCTTTGAACCAGATCCAGAATTTTACGAACCTGAAGAAAGAACAAGTGAAATGTTAGTAATGTGCAGAATTTGCTATCTGTTACATTTACAGAATGCTTTGGGGCCCTTCAGCACTGGAGATAGGACTTGAAAAAGAAAATTTGAGTCCATCTTAAAAATTTCAATTCAAAATCTGGACCTTCAACATCCCAAAGTTCAGTGTGTTTGGATGATGTAGCTAGAACTGAGCAGTTACAGAGAGACTGGACCTGGAGCTCTGATTTCAGTCTCAGTCCTTAATTACAGATGTTAACTACAGAGATGAAAGGGTCTGTACTGTGTGTCACAACCCAATTAAATTGTGCCCATGCCACTGAGCAAGAGATACCATTCAAATCATCCTCATTTTGACGATTAAGGGTTAAAAGACATCCCTGCCAAAAATTCCTTGAAACAAAACGCGGCCAGAGTACTGTAGATAGTTGGTCAGCTGAAATAAAATGCTAGGGGAAACTATATATAATTGGTCCAAAACTAAGCGTAAGCTCCTCACACGTAGCACACACATAACAGGTAGAGAAACCTAACCCACTACCTTGTAACTTGAGGAGACAAAGAGCTGCCAAAAATTAAAGATTCCATATAACGGTTCACCATTGGGTATCCCTATAAAACACCTCTGCCTATAAATAGTTTAACGGTTTCCACCCAAGTCAGAGAGCTCTGGGGATCTCACAGGAAACACCTGTGCTTGTCACCAGAGAATTGGGAAATTGATCAATTCCTAATCAATCACCCCGTCAGCGTAAAATATTGACGTAGAAAGTCTTGCAAGCTCGACCGTTCGTTCCGGCGCCACGTCCGTCATTATCCCGTTGTAACCTGACTGCGTGCGTGTACTCAACTCTGTAACCGAAGTTATATGCGTATACTCGACTCTGTAACCAAAGTTATATGCGTATACTCAACTCTATAACCGAAGCTGTAATGGAACAAAGGCTCGCCTGCGTCGTCCATCACTATCTAGGCGATGTAAGTAAACAAACTCCTGTAACCTACACGTGTCTGTGCCTGGTTAATTCCACTCCATCCATCAATTACCCGCCTGCCGAGCTCTAAATCTGAACACTCCGGTGTGTGAGTCAGACAAGCTGCCGGCGGCTGCTCTGATTCACGACACTGTGGAGCAGCAAAGCATCTTCCAGGTCTGCTTGGGCACACAGACTAGGGAAGGAAATTTTAAATCCTCCCCAGATTAAAGTGAAATTAGAAAACAGATTTCTGGCCTCCAGACTTGGCCCTTCAAAGTGTGAGGGTCAGCTGTGGTGTACATCAGACCCTAGCCTGACCTGCAGTATGGGAGGTGGAAGGCTTCTCCCAGACTGAATATAGAGCCAAACATGAGCATTCTTCCCTCCAAGCAGACTAGCTCAGCGCTTCAAGGCTACCAGAAAAAACAGGTGATGCTGGATTCCCAACTCACCCAGAAGTCAGAGATTTAATGCTCACACCTGTTAGCAAAAAGGACCGACTCCAACTGACAGCTGGAAGGGGCCGACAGCTGGAAACGAATGATGGAGAACTTGTTTCTGAGGGTACTTGTTGGATAATCTTTATATTAGCATAAGGCTGACCTACCATTCTTAAGATAACCACATGCCAAGCCTTCTAGTCTCATCTTCAAGCAACTGTAGATTTGCAGTGTGGGTAGGTATAAGGGCAAGATACAGTCTGACTTTTGTGCAACCAGTGTATGAGGACCTTAGTTCAATTGCCCCTAGAAAGTACAGCAGTCCCTCCAAATACTTCTTGGATTGGATTCTGTTCCTGCTCAAGAAACTGAACTAGCCAAAGGCGTAATTTCTTCAGTAGCCAAATTCCTCAAGCTTTCAAATTCCTCAAGCTTCTGGAGGTAGCTGCTTTTGTCTGCCATGATCTTAGTGAAGGAGAAAGTACATTGTAGACACCAAGATGATGATAGCTTTTTTGTTTTTCTTTGGACAGGTGATTTAAAGCAAAGACTGCTCTGTAACCTAACTTATAGCTTTTTAGAGAGGTTCACAAAATCTCCTTTTTAGTTAATACTGTAAAGTGCATGCTGCCTCTGCTGACAGCCTGTTCTGTTACAATGGCAAGATGATCATAAAGATTGTCATTTTTCAGCTCTCAGCTTTTTTTACTACACAGATAAGCAGTATTATTATAAATTCCATTATTCAAGAAGACTGATTATGCTAGGGGAAGTCTGTAAATTGATGAAGGCCAGGGCTCTGAGCATTTTATGGTTTATGTGCCTCCGGCTGTGAGGCAGTTTTGAAATTTCTAAGCTGCGTAACTGGTTTATCAGGGAAATCAGAGCCAGGTGTTGTTTTAAAACAATGTCTCCATTATAAAAGGAAAAACTGCCTGAACTGATCTTTTTCCTCTACTGGAAGACTTAGAATTCCAAGAAGTTTTTTATTGTTGTTCTCTACTGGGGACAAATCTAAAGCCCAAATGTATCAGAATATCAAAGTTTTTCCTAAGTTCACATAGGAGGATATGGAAGGAACCCCTCTCTTTACAAAGAAAGTATTGCACAGGTGGAAAACAATTACAATTTTAAAATAAATGCCTCCCCTTTAAAACAAGGATCAACTTTTCATATGTCCCATGTTATGGTGAAATAAGATTGTTTCTTAGTTTAGTATTTTGCATGGTAATTAAACAGCAAAACTTTAAAGGTGTGCATTTAAAATGCCTTAACATCATAGATTTTTTTAAAATAAATTTCATAGATTTTTTAAAATTAAAATTGCTAAAAAAATAAATCTCCAGGGATAAAGTAGCAGTTGCCTGAGGGTACAATTCAAAGGCTACCATGAATTTTAATGGGAACTGGATCACACCTTAAGGAACATTGTGTCCTGCCTGGGTGATCAACATTCTCCACTGATCTGTGGAGCAAAGTTCACAACCGTGAAAGTTTACATAGACCACCTCAGCAATGACCCTACTCATTGGAAGGAAAATGTGAGTGGAGGAAAGACTGAGTCAGTTGCCTCACCTATAGAACAGCCTGCCAAGAGGAAGGCCAATTAGTTCCAGCGCTGGCAGGGATACTTGCGACAGATATTTCTCTCCAGGGGAGGCTGGACTGGGTACATCAAATATAATATAAATCTAAAAGGGAAAGTTGCCAGATATGCTTAAGCCTATGGGAGTTTACAAGGCTAATACAAAGCTTGAGCTAAATAGTAGTAGGCAACTTTCAATCTTTCTGGATCATGGTATATGCACGAGAGGTCACCAGGACCTTCAATGCATGCACCTAGGCTAGAGGATGGAGGAGTGGAGGCTGCCAGACTTTCAATCCCTTCTTTTAGACCATTGAGACAACATCCAAAGGCCAAACCAGGTCTAGACCTTCAGTGCCTTCACAGCTGTAGTTACATGAAGGTCTGGGAATTGAATCTGGGTTTCCCACAGGGTAGACAAGGATTCTACCACTGACCCACAACAGTAAGTATGAGGTAAATAATGAAATAAGAAAATACCTTATCTGTTTGAGTTTGAAACTGTGCAGCAATCTCAGCGTCTTCATTTGAGAAGTATTCATTCTTAATCAAGTTGTCAATCAAACACTGGGTGTTTCGGATACTGGTGACCAAATGTTCTCGATGTATTTTCAGCAAGTTAATGAATGATGGAGGACTTGTTTCTGAGGGTACTTGTTGGATAATCTTTGTATTAGCATATGGCTGACCTGCCATTCTTAAGATAACCACATGCCAAGCCTTCTAGTCTCATCTTCAAGCAACTGTAGATTTGCAGTGTGACATCAGGATTGGAGTTGAATTTAGGTCAAACACCAACTGTCCTTCATGCTATTGGACCTATGACAGTAAGTGTGCAACAACAAATAAAAAATTAAATAGTATGAGACTTGTCCCTCCAATACCAAATGGATTTCCAGTCTGTTAACAAAATGCTTGCTAATTTCACCATGCAAAATAATACTGACATCCTACCCAAGCAAGCTTCAGGGGAATGGTTATTTATTGTTTAAAGCTAAGAAAAGGATGCAGAGTGGTCTGTGTTACAGAAGCTGTCCTCTAGTCTGCTGTGCATTCAGCTTATGCCCACTTTATTAGACATTCTTGGTGCATGATTCTGGATGTCATAAAATGAAATAAAATAATACAGCATAGTAGGTAGCTACTTCTCACAAATCAGTTCAGTTTATTACAGTACATTAAGAATCTCTCTAAAATGCTGCCAATAGATATGATTAATTATGCTTGGAGGGCATCATAATTCAAGTTCATTAATATCACTTAGCATCAGATCCATCTTAGTCTGTACAAAAAGAAGAATTTGCATGCAAGCAGGCATGTACTATAGCTGTCAATTTGAACTGTTTGCAAGTATTAGTTTCTCCCTGGCCCGGTTGCACCCACCGAGGGTATGTCTACACCCTCATTAATGTGCCATAATTAAGGTGCATTAAGTTTAGTACCTGTAATAACAGGTACTAACAACGCAACGTAATCGGCGCTACTGCACAGGAGCACCAGCACACACTTTTTTGTGATGCTAATGTGCAGTAAAGTAATTCTACTCTGCATTAGCACGCTTTTTGCCTGCTGTGCTAATGTGCAGTAGAATTAGTTTACTGCGCATTTAGCATCTCATGTAGACATGCCCCTGGAAACACAATGTGATCACTAACACAACTCAGTGAACTCCATGCCAAAGATAAAATCCTGTTACAGAATAAAAATCTTCCTTGCTGTTATAACAGATGCTGCCTCTGGAAATTAAGAGCTGTACATGGCAGCATCCATGAGATCAGCCTGTACACATGCATGAATACATGCTACATGTCCTAGTCTCACACTGATGGAGCTGACAGCCTTCCTCACCTGGCTAAATTATTGGTATTTTCCTTGATCACAGTGGAAAATGATGAGCCTCAATAGGAACAAATTGCCCTGGGATAACATGATTGGTTTTTCTGGATGCCTAATGACAGCTAATGTAGCCATGCAAGAACTGACACAAATCTAAATTGCAGTTAAGGAGAATTATGAAGTACATTTAAGTACCTTTTAGATATAAGTGCTGTACCTACATTTAACTTAATCTCTCAGAGGCAAACATCTTATGAGATCATGATCAGGTGAATTTCTAGGATCAACTTAGAAATTGTTACTCAGACCTGCATTGTGTTCCATAACTATGCTTCACAGGATGAAAAGCCCAATGTGAAACCTAGATGCAGCTGTTCAGTGACATTTCTATAACTGCAGTAATCTCTGTAAAAAAAAAAAAAAAAAAAAAGCCAGTGTTGCTTCTTCAAATCATTTGTAATTCCCTGAGCCATCTGACATACAGAAAAGCTTTTTTTTTTTATAGGTCCCTGCTCTTGTTCATCTAAAATATAACTAAGCTCTCATGCACACTTGGGCATTCGCCCTAGCAATTAGCTGCCACCAGACTCTGCATTTTGCATTTCCGTGCTAGAAGTGGCCAGTTGCACCAATGCAGCTTGACTGTCTGAAGCTGTGATTTGAAATGCTGCAGCTTAATGCGAGTTTGCCTGTCTATGCTAAGGACTACATTTTCAAATGGTGCACATGGGCATAGCTCCATTGACTTCAAGGGACCAAACTGGTGACTCGCCAGTTTGCACTGCTCTGAATCTGGCCCAAACAGTTTATACTGCTCTATCTGTACCCGGAACTGGCCATCAATAGCTTAAAACAGGGCAAATCTGTAACATGGTTTAGAGCAGGCCAGAACATTGCAAATTCCTTTGACTGACTGCAATGAAACCAAGCAGGTTAACTAACTCTCTCACCATGTAAGTGATCTGCATCTGCAAGACACCATTTATTCATTAAACCATTTATATTATTCACTCAGCAGGGGTGGCTGGTTTCTGACTCACTTGGCTTTCTAGAAGTTGCAGTGCCTTTTCTCTTTGTCAGAAGCTTATTTTATAATTCTCTAAACCACAATGACTAGACAGTTTCTAAACTGCCATCCTGAGGTTTCTGTCTTATTTAAAGAGAAACTGTCACCTCAAAATCTATAGTTCATTCTCTTCTAAGGTTTTACATCTGGGTTCCTCTGCTCATTTTTGTTTTTCTAGAACCTCACTTTCCTATTGTTTCTCCCACTTCTGTGAAAGACTCATGTAAACTCCTTCTAGCTGACTACACAAAGCATTGTCACATGTGCAAAACAGGCCAAGAATTAGGAAGCAATGTGTTTTTCTTTTTACTTGTTTCGATTCTTGTAAACTTAAGTGGCTGCTTGTAACAGGAAGAACATTTTCAGGCATACAGAATTTAAGTCGTATTCTACATTTAAAGAAAAAAAAAATCAGCCTACATTCTACACATGGGCAAATGAAAAGAGAGGAAAAAATACATGAACACAAGATTATTTTCTTTAAAAGAAAACAATTAAAAGGACAGAAGGACCCAGGAGCGGAGAGAAATACTGCATTGGTTCTGCCAGAGTCTAATTCAGTACAGAACCTGGTTCAAGTTGAAAGATGCCCAAGGTCATATATGGGTTTTCTTTCTCACTTTTCTCCATCTCTACTTGTGGCGTGGAAGTGGAGTGGTAGGTGTGGGAAGGACAGAGAAGTATGAGGCACAAGAATGCTGGGCTGAGCTTACATAGAGAGACAATCATATCAGCCTCTATATCTAATTATCTGAATGTTTAATATATTTTGTATGATCTAACAGATATTTCTAGACTAGATCTGGGCATATAATCCGGAAATCATCAAGAGGCTCTGATCTAAAAAAAAAATAGTAATGGTTATATACAGTGAATTTGCCATCTGCAATTTAAAAACATTTACAACTTAATTTCTTCAACCATGCCCAAAGCATTTGTCATTCACTGAGGATAATAAAGTCTGCAAAGAGTTTTAAAATGAATACTTTTTTAGCTAGCTCAGTGCAAAAAAGGCATCTACATACTTCTTAACATACAAAATCCATTTTGTTTTTCAGCAAGGATTCTAAAAGATCCAGGCAAAACTTTTTACTTCGTCTCTTCAAAAAAATCTGAGTAGGACAGCATGAGAAATTTAGGCACGAGGACAGCTTTTTTAGAACCTGAAAATAAGTATTTATGAAAGCACCTCCTCAAACAGCGCCTCATTTATACTTTGCAACGAAGATGATAACAAATAATAGGAAAAGAAAAATGCATGCTAGTTATATGAGGATTCCAGTGTCAGAATCGTTACATACTAATAGGAAATTGAGTTTCTGTCCACTGCCATGCTAGAGCATTAGGACTGACATGCACGTTTCTCCCTGATTTGTAAGAGAGATTTTTCTAGATTAAACGTTGCCATAGTCCAGGGGTGGGCAAAATGTGGCCCGGGGGCCGTATGTGGCCCACCAGGCCATTCTATCCTGCCTGCAGGGCCCCTAAAAAAATTTAGAAAATTGATATTTATCCGCCCCCTGGCTGCCTATCATGTGGCCCTTGATGGCTTGCCAAAATTCAGTAAGTGGCCCTCTGCCCAAAATAATTGCCCGCCCCTGCCACAGTCAGTCCTGAAAAACTACACTTGGATGTTCAGTGTCATAAAAATCCAGTATTTGGCAGAAACAGCTTGGCTTCCTGAGAGTCCATATGTATTTGTGCCTCTCGCTTAAAAAATAAACCACATCATGCCTCTGCGGTAACTCCTCTTATTGCACTCCCTTTCTCCCTACATTTCTATTTTGTCTCATATTTTCTGAAATTCTGTCTCACCTCTAATGGATGCAACACAAACCGTGCGGCTCAGGGGAAAAGTCATTTTGACACTTTCAGGGTTGGGTCTGGTCAGGTGGGTTTCATTTCTACCTGGGAGGAATTTTGCAATCTTTGCATTCCCTTTGCCTGAGGAAGGGCGTGTGAGCCTGAAAGCTTGCAAATAAAGAATTTTTTTTGCATCTACCTAGTTGGTCTAATAAAAGATATCGCCTCTACCCACTGACTGTATTTACTGCATGAACATTTTCCTGGCAGAAACTATACCTTGAGACCTCCTTTCAGTTGATATGCCAGCAGACCTTAGAACTGGTACTGAACAGTCTGCTAGGCCAGGTCAACTTCTGGGCAAGTGGCATCATCTTAGCCTTTGGTGATGAAGTCTGACAGTGACCAGGATAGTACTGTCTTATTAGAAACCTACCTAGGAGAAATTTTACAATCTTTGCATTCTCCTTTGCCTGAGGAAGGGCACATGAGCCCAAAAGCTTGCAAATAAAGATGTTTTTTGCAAAATCTAGTTGGTCTAATAAAAGATATTGCCTCTAACCCACTGACTGCTTTTGCTTTTAGATCAACACAGCTACAACCTTTATCCATGCAATAAATGTTTCCTCTGTGCCTTCAAGTTAGATTTGTTTACTGACCAAAGTGATTATTTAGTACTGCTACGCTGCACTGGAAAGTTCTCTTGCTACATGCAGTACCAAATATTTGCAGTCAGAACCTGTACAGGAACACTTCTTGGAGCTGTTGTGAGAGACTGAAAATGGTCTGATTTTTCAGGTCCTATATTTGGTAGGTAATTTACTGATATTTAAGATGACAAATTACTAAAAGAGAATGTTGTAACCCCCCACCCCCAAGTTATTTTTAGGAACTTACCTTCATTCGACTACTACTTATAAAAGAGCCTCCAACATTTTACTATTACTTGGACATGCCTACACGTAGCACTATGTCACTGTAGCAATGCAGTACAGTAGGGGTGGGCAAAATGTGTCCCGCAGGCTGGATGCAGCCTGCCAAGCCATTCTACCCAGCCTGTGGAACCCCTAAAAAATTTAGAAAATTTAAATTTTTCTGCCCCTGGCTGCCTGTCATGCGGCCTTTGATGGCTTGCCAAAACTCAGTAAGCAGCCCTCCACTCAAAATAATTGCCCGCCCCTGCACTATGGTGATGTAGCGTCGGCAGGCACAAACCAGCCGCTACACTGCTGTAGTGATGCGCTCCCTCAGTATACTTCCAAAGTATTAAATGACGGTGCACTAACAATGACACCATAGTGGCATGTGTAGATGCAACCCTTGTAAAGGGAATTTACAAGAGTAGGAAAAAACAATACATTTGAGAGGCATATGAGTACACACACATACCCCTGCATTAAAGGTTTGAGCATCATGCTTCAAGAAAGATGTGGGGAAATCAGAGAGTTCAGAGGATAGCAACACGAAAATAATTATTACTAGGCTAGAAAGATATGAAGAAAAGTTGGAAGAACCGATCTTATTTTGTGCAAAGGAGAGAAGACTCAGGGGGATTTGACAATAACCTTCAACTACAAAAAAGACTGTTATAAAGAGGAAGGTGATCAAATATTCTGTGTCCACAGGGGACAGGAAAAGAAGTAATGAGCTTAAGCTGCAGCAAGGGAGATTTAGGTTGGATATGAGGAAAACCTTTTTAATTCTAAAATTCAATTAAATTTAATTCATTCTAATTTTAATTTTTAACTCTTTTAATTTTAAGTTTAATTCTAAAACATTACCTAGAGAGATTATGGAGACTCCATCACTGGAACTTTTTAAGTGCACGTTAGACAAACATTTGTCTGGGATAGTTGAGACAAGGATGACCTTGAGTTGGGCAGGAGCATGCATTAGATGGTTTCTTGAGGCCTATTTTTCTCTGTTTCTAAGTTTTACTGAAAACTGATGCTACAAAATTCCTAGAGATGAGAGAAAACTGGTTTTACTTTTATAACAGTGCATTAGCAGAATCTATCCAAAGCCCTGACTCTGATTTAAAAAAAAATATTGTGTCCGTGAGTGAACATTTATTTCATCCAGGTTTACAATCTCAGCATAACAATTATAATCAGTAATGCTTATGTCAACCAATATTTTAAGAGCCATATGCTAATCATACACAGATGTTAATGCACAATAGTTCCCATGGTTTCACTGGAGTTACTTTGCCTTTTCTCCTGCATAACTAAGACAATCTTTCCTCTGTGGTGTTTTTCCCACTCTCTCTCTACCATTTTTTTAAAATCGCAGTAAGCTTTTTTAATTGTTCCTGGTTGCTTGAGAAGCAACAGATGTACAAGAACTCAGAGAAGAAATTAATTATGCTCACTGACAGATTGATGGTCCATGCTGCTTTTAAGGTACACCTTTCTATACAAATGGCTAGCGATTTTCATTTATAGTTTTGTGTTCTTGTTCATGTATATTCTCCTTATTTGGATTTGCCATTAGATTCCCCAATACTGCTCTTTTCAAACAGAGATTTATTAATTCCGGGTTTGACTGAAGTGGCAAATCTGAGTCATTAAAGAGCTCCGGTGTAGGCTTCCTGATACTCCTTTTACGGTTTTCCAAAAGCTCTTGCCATATATCAGAATGGGCTGCCACCAAAAACAAAGAAAAGAAGCCTTTATCTTACCCTTAATGAAGAATTTTTCTCTGTGGTTTTACTGGACTAATATTCTGGTCTTTCTAATAAGGGAGATAGTATTCTCTCTTATTATTCTAGTTGGTGAATGATCTAGGCAAGAGTGCAAAATATTGTCTGTTTCACACTTTCAGGATTTTTTTCGGGATAAGTTTCCATGCTTGGTATCTGTTCACGATTGGAACAAGATTAATTCTTGCCAGGAACTAGTTGGGGAGAAGAATGGGGAACAGCTCCTAACACACTGGAACTCTGATTGGAGCCTTCAGGCACTACTACTCCAACATACATCACTATGGGCAACCCCCGCTTAACACTGTTTCGCTTACCGCTATTTCGCTATAATGCTCATTTTAAATTGATACCTGATTTCACTTAGTGTTCCGCAAGTTTCGCTATAACGCTTGCCAATTCCATCTTGGGTCATTAAAAACACTTGCGGTTACCATCTTGGGCCGTCAAATACCTTCGGTTTTCCTTAATGCCCATTTCGCTTATCGCTTGGTTTTTCAGGAACCAATTAAGAGCACTAAGCGGGGGTTGCCTCTACTAGCAATATAACAATAGTAACAACGTGATGTACAGGGCTGCCTGCTGATCCTTAGAGCAGCGACATAATCCAGAGGCGAGAAGAGGCAAAAAGCCTTGTGCCTTTTACGTTTGCATAGTTCTGCTGACTTCTATGTCTGTCCTCATAGTCATTGAGCAGGGCATATAGGCCTAAACTGTATTAGTATGTAAATCACATCGAAATGGATGGATTTACAGTTGAGCCCGAGTCTGGCTTTATTCTGTTTCTCTTAGTGGATTGAAAAGAGAACGCATTCACACTCACTCACCCAATGTCTTTCCAACTAGGAGAGCAGGGGGAAAGGTTCAGATTACTTTTTAGGTTAGTGCAGGGGTGGGCAAAATGCGGCCTGGGGGCTGGAAGCGGCCCACCAGGCCGTTCTATCCAGCCCGCGGGGCACCTAAAAAATTTAGAAAATTAATAATAATCTGCCCTAGGCTGCCTGTCATGCGGCCCTTGATGGCTTGCCAAAACAGTAAGCAGCCCTCTGCCCAAAATAATTGCCCGTCCCTGGGTTAGTGTTACCCCTGTTTTTCTCTGGCTGCCTCATTTAACTCTCTACCTAGACATTGCCTGGTAAATTTTTGAAGCCCTGTGTAAGAGCAGATGAGTCATGGGATAATTTTCTGGGAAAAGGGTGCGCCTCTCATTGAAGCAACCTGAAATTCCCCACTTGCAATCTGCAGGCAAGCTGAGCCCCTCCATGCACGAAGTGCAAATAAAGCCAAGAGCAAGAGCCCCAGTTGCAAGCAAGAATCGTCTTCAATCTGGACGGCGGGCATCATATCGCACTGATCCACCCGTCCCCTCTGCAGGGCTGTTTTCCTTAGTCTTGGGGAGGCTGACTAAACGCGGACGTGCGGCATGACCATGACAGCAGACGTCAGGGGATCACTTTGTTCACTTTTCTAGCTTTTCGTTCCCAAAGCTGGGCACGCGCTGCCTTTCCTCAGGGCCCTCCTGCCTGCCTTGGCTCCTCTCCCAGAGGGGCTGGGCCCCAGGGCCCCAGCCTTGCCTGGTCCTTTTGCCTCCCCTCTCCCCCCACAGCAAAGCCGGCAGAGCCAGGCCAGCCCCGGGCCAGAGCCCGGCGGGGCGGCACGAGGCGGCTGGCGGGAGCCCGACCACGACCCCGACCCCGACCCCGGCCCCGCGCCCCCCCCCGCCGCTCCGGCCCCGGGAAAGGAAAGTGAAAGGGGAGGGGCGAGGCCAGGGGCCCGGGCCGGGAGGGAAGGAGGGAGCCAGGCAGGGCGTCTCCTCCTCCCCGCCCCGCGGGAGTGCTCGGCGCTGCAGCGCGGG